AACTGACCACACTACACACAAAAAATCAAATTTTCAACCCCACTTGATAAAATATATAAGTGATTTTGCAGAAGCAATGAATATGCTTTTTATATTTTCCAAATCTCCTGAAGTATATCAGTTTGAGTTTGCTGTCTATCTGATATGTAGGCTCATTATTACTCCATTTCACACCTAAGATGCAGATTTTCAAATTATTTAACATCAATTAAGTATTGCATACCATGTATGAAATACTAGTATGATTAAATTCAGTGTTTCTACATTATATACATGTAATCAATACATTTCATAATTATGCAATTTATCTCAAATACTTTCACATCAAAAGATGTCCAATTGTGAAGTCAGGAACATCTCATATTATCTCATGGTTGTACACCGAGTTACATCCATAATAAAATAAACCTCATCTTTTAAATATTCATAATTTTCTTTATCATAAATATTCATGACTTTCATTATCATAAATATTCATGACTTTATTATAAATATTCATGACTTTTTCAATATAAATATTCATGACCTTTTTTATTATAAATATTTATGACTTTCTTTAATATAAAGTTATTCCACCCTGAAAACCCCAATGTATCTAGAGGAACATATCCCTTCCTTACTATTACACAACATGCTTATCTCTATCTTTTCCTACAACGAAACCAACATGGACAGCTTTCTATCAAACTGTATGATAAATGTAATGATTTCAATTTCAATTGTGAATTTTCCATTTCTAGATAGCAACAATCCTGCATCTCAAACCTATGAAATTTACATGTCACAGCTATTCAAGGAATTTTCATGCAAGAAAGTTACAACTGACTGACAAACTTATTGCACAAGGGTTCAAAAGACAAAGGTTGGTTTAGATTATGGGGAAGTTTTATGGTCGCCATAGTGATCTCATTGAGAAATATTCTATCTCTTTTGTACAATATGAAGGTTGAAGGTGGATGAATCTGTTGCTTGTTGGTTCCGTTGTTATATACCTTGTTCTCATTTGAGAATGTGACATTACTGACAAAGATTTACATGGTAGGTGTTGTTGATGAGGCCGAAGACACTTACTGTATTTAACAGATTATAAGTCGCATAATTTTTCCTAGTGAGCTGGGCGTGCGACTAATTTACCAGTGCGGCTTATACGTGGATGAAAAAAGAAAAATGGAACCTACATCTGTGTGTAGACAATCTGTGAAGTATCCCAAGCCAAACAAGTTTGATAATTGCTATTTAATGTTTTTGAAACACATCAATAAAATAAAGGATTATCTGTGTATAATTCAAGCATCAGAGTCACTGACAACCTTGATAAATTGCCCGCCAGTGTCTGTTATATCAATGAATTTTGGTCACGGTTACCACTTTGTTGGCACTGCCTTCCATTAACTATTACCAGTACATCAAACGTCAACAATCACCATATTGTAAGAAAGGGTGAAGCTTATATGTGGATCAAATAAAAAATCACTGACTGTCCCTGCAGCTTATATACTGGTGCAGCTTTTAACCCAGAATATACGGTACTCTCCCCAAACACCTGGTCTTATTCTTCTTTTTTAATGAGTTTCTGTGTAAATCTTCCTTTTGTTCATATATAGTAAAACATGTTTATAAGAAACGCGCTTACAACAAATTAATGGTTATAACGTAGTGTTTTTCATTCCCCGTCAATTGCCCTATCATTCATATGGTAAAAACGAAATATATAACAAATTCCACATAACGAATTAATGTCTATAACTTAGCAGCTTTTGGGTCCACTCAAGTGAATATCAGTGCTAATCAATAACCATATAACGTAGTGGCCTTGGGCAGTCGTCACACCTGAGTGAAGTCAGCCGTGTGGCCTGTATCAACACCCGTGTCCAGGTAAGTTTCAATAATGTACAGGTAGGATTGAGTTGTTGTTACACGTTTTTAGTTGTCGCCGTCTCGTAAGCGGAAGGCGTTAACAATTGAAACCAAATACCAAATTATTTGTGAAGTAGACAATGGGGAAAAGACTAACAAGGATATTGCAGATAGCTTCGAAATTCCAGCAACAACACTGAGTACAATTTTTAAAAATCGAAATGAAATTCTGAAGCAATATTCGTCTGCAAATTCATCGCCAAGCAGGAAACAACACCGAAATGCCGCATCTGAAAATGTTATAAAGGCTCTCTAGCAATGGTTTATAGATATGGAACCAGAACATTCATTATCTGGGCCGATATTGTTGGCAAAACAACGAAGACGATGAGTTGCCCCTATTTTTACTTGCTGGTGACGAAGACGATGACATCCCTCTTCAGAATCTAAGTACTAAACTGAAAGAGAAAAGTGGTGATTTTGGACCGGAGCACAATGTAACAATGGCAGACTACACAAATGTTGATGCTAACGTTATGAATTCAGCGGAAATGTCTGATTCTGATGTAGTTGATTTGGTACTCTGTGATGTAGAGGATGTGGAGAACGATGATGATGATGATGATGATGATGATGATGATGATGATGTAACTATAGACATTGATAAAGACTCCCTCTCCAGTGTAGCGGACGCACAGGAATATCTGACAAAACTGCATCGTTTTATAGAATGTCAGTCAGACATTTCTGAATCTGCATTCAATGCATTACATATCATTCAAAAGATCCGTAACAAGATCTCAGACAGTAACAAAAAGCAAACTGTCATTTGTGATTTTTTCAAGTAACTATTTGAGTGAATTGTATATTTGGAGATACTATACATGTAATCAAATAGAACCAGGAAATAAGACCCCTTTATTTTATTGCATGTACAATTCCTATAACGAATTATGCATGACTGTTTGCCAAAATTCGTTATATGTGTATAACGAACTATATTTATAAGGAACTCAATTTCTTGGTCCCTAGAGGTTCGTTATAAACGTATTTTACTGTATTTTATCAGATCTGAGTGTGAATTATGTTGCTATGTTGGTATTTTCTTGATTTTTTTTCTAAAATGTTTTTAAAACAACGTATTTTATTGGTCAGATTTTTTGTAAAAGCTCATTTGTTACATAGATATTCAGCTTGTTACAGTTGATGAAATAAATTTCTAGAATCGATGGCAAAATTGACATATTTGATGACCTTCTGTAGATCTTAGCCTACAAGTCTATCCGAATAAATAGTAACAGAGAATCATTTCTGTAAATAGCAAGCCAGTGTATATATATACTAACACGAAAAAGAAACGCCGGGTACACTAAATATACTACAAATGAGTTATTGCTTGGCCTAGAATAATGACACTCAGTCAGGTTGATGTGTTGTTCGCGGTCACTAGGTACACGTGTTTAAAATCACACAATACCTGACCTCCGCGCTCCGTATGAGGCACGTGCTAAAATACAAGAATCCCATGCAGGGGAAGGTCATTGAGTTCGCCAATGGAAATTTTCAGTCTATTTGATACTGTTCAAGTGTTCGGATTGATTTTACAAAGTTTGATTCGAATTAAGATTTACATCCATGCCCTGATTGATGGAAGTCCAGCGGGGACAGGCTATAGGAATGCTTTTGCAGGGTCAGGGATAACTTCAGGTTGCTGCACATTTTGGTGTGCATATTCGGACAATTCAATGTCTTGTCCAACTTGTGTGAGGAGGGTCATCGACCGACCGCGAAGTGGATGTTCATGCATCACGCCACATCAGGATCGGTTTATAAGACTTTCTCACTTACGTAATCGCCATCTCACAGCTACCGAAACTGCAAATAACACTATAGGCAGTCATAACCTCCATATTCATCCTGATACAATTCGAAACCGATTACTCGTCAATGGCCTAAGAGCCCGACGTCCCTATGTTGGTCTGCCCCTAACTCCTGCGCGTTGCCAACGCCAATTGGCTTGGTTACAAGCACACTCACCCAGAAATTTTCCTATGAGGATGAGGCAATGGAGACGGGTATTCTTCACTGACGAATCCCAGTTCACTCTCTACAGTTCGAACGATCGACGTCGTGTATATCAACGTTGAGGGGAACGTTACACCGACGCGTGCGTTGCTGAGCGGGATAGGTTTGGCGGTGGTTCAGTATGTGTTTGGGGCGGTATCTCCTATGGGTTTAAATCACCCCTGATCGTGATTGACGGTAATTTAACCGGCGTAAGGTATAGAGACGAAATCCTTCGCCCAGTTGCCGTGCCATGTGTGCAAGCACGGAACCTGATATTCCAGCAAGACAATGCCCGGCCCCATGTCGCTAGAGTTTGTCAGCAATTTCTTGCCAACAATAACGTAATCCCAATCGATTGGCCAGCATTCAGTCCAGATTTGTCTCCAATTGAGCATTTGTGGGACGAATTGGATAGGAGAGTTAGGAGACGTCCAAATGCCCCCACTAATCTGGTCCAGCTCACACGTGCCTTGCATGAAGAATGGAATAACATCCCCATTGCAAGGGTTCACACCCTGATGAATTCCATGCATAGAAGAATCAGGGCTGCGACAGCTGCGCATGGAGGACACACAAGATACTGAAATGTCCGGCCGTGTTGTGCAATACAAGTAGGGTCATCGCTAAAAGGGGGATATTTTTGGCATAACTAGCATTGATAATCGATAGAACCTTCAACAAATGGTTCCAAACAGATGAAATTGTATACCAAAATGAATGAAATAATGTAACATTAAATTATATCATTTAAAAGAATGTTTTTAGGTTACACGGCGTTTCTTTTTTGTTTTAGTATATATATATATATATAAATGATTTTTTACAAAAGAAGAAAGACGTTACATTTTGCACTAGCGCTTTCACTGTATTAGATCTTCAGGTGCATAGTAACTGTACATAATGGTGTGGCGTCACAATATGTTATCTGTTGATGACGTCATAATATAAAAGGGGCATAATTATATTTTGCAAACTTTACAAAGCGGTTAAACATTAATATTCAAGTCTGGTTTTAAAATGTTTATAATGTCTGACTCCTTGGCTTCTCTTTGTATTCGATTGGTTTCAGATGAAAAATGAAATGGCCGTCCACGAAATCAAAACCAGTAAATGAAAATAAACGCGACAACATAGATCCTAAAATTATCGACATGAGCACCAAAAAATTAGCAAAGAATGAACTGAAACTCTTAAAACAGGGGTTAAAATTCTGTCCAAGCCCAAGAGAAAACAAACCAGAACTAGGTCAAGATATTCAAGAATTCGAAAGAAGGCTGAGATTGCTGGAGTTTTTTGAAGGGAAACCAAACGAAGATCAATCGTTGCTTCGGAACAAGTCAAACTTTTTCCCGCCGAAATCAAACGATGAATGTCTCGAACTTTTCTTCAAATCCATCAACGGCTGTCATACAAAAATCACTAACCGGAAGAGAGGAAATATATCAAAGGAAGAGACAAAGGCATTGAATGACCTTACAAATGACGCTTCTATAGTAATAAAAGAAGCGGACAAAGGTGGCGCAAAAGTAATAATGGACAGGGAATTTTATAAAAACAAAATTTTGGAACTCCTGGAGGATGTTGATAATTACAAGGAAATAGATACAAACAAAGATGAAACTGTTTTAAAGAGAATCGGTAAACTCATAAAAAAATATCCAGGGCAACTAACAGATAAAGAGCAGGATTATCTCATGAACTTTCAGTGCAAAACGTCAAACTTTTATGGTCTTCCTAAAATTCATAAATCAAAGGAAGTCCAAACGGCTATTGCTCAACAAAGGTCGGAATACATTGTAATGCCTCCAGCAAAGGACCTAAAAATGAGACCAATCGTTGCTGGTCCGGCGTCTCCAACACACCGTCTAAGTAACTTTTTAGACATCTTGCTAAAACCTCTTTGCACGCTAGTACCCAGTTACATAAAAGATGATATAGATTTCCTGAAATACTTGCCAAAACACATCAATGAGGATACAACGTTCGTCTCATTCGACGTCATAAGTCTGTATACAAATATACCTCACGAACTTGGCATTGCAGCAATATCTTATTGGCTACAAGAAACTCGGATTGTTCGCAATATTTCAAAAGAATTCGTCAGAGAAGCAGTTGAAATAGTACTGCAGGAAAACACATTCCAATTTAATGATAAAAATTATCAACAAATACAGGGTACAGCAATGGGGACAAAAATGGCTCCAACTTACGCAACCTTAGTAATGGGGATCTTAGAAGTACAATTTTATAATAAGTATGGAGAACAATTCGGCCAGGAAGAGAAAAAAGATCTCAAGGAAAATTTTAAACGATTCCTCGATGATTGCTTCATACTCTGGAAAAAGTCTGATGATGATTTACGAAATTTCTTCACAATGCTAAATGAACTCCATCCAAAAATACAATTCACAATGGAAAAAAGCAAGATAAGATTACCATTTTTGGACATACTGCTCTTCAAAGACAACGAGGAACTTTGCACAGATATCTATTACAAATCCACGGACACACACCAGTATTTGAATTTCCTTTCTTCGCATCTGAGGCACACAAGAGAAAATATCCCATTCTGTCTAGCCCGACGAATATGCACAATTATAGAAAAAGATGCTTTAAGAAGACAGAGACTTGAGGAACTAAGACAGTTTCTGGCGGAACAAAATCATCCACAGTCCCTGATCAATAACGGCATCAGGAGAGCCTCTGAAATTCCAATAGCGGAACTCAGAACACCGAAAGAAAAAAACGATGAGAAGGTACTGCCGCTTGTCATGACATACAACCCCAGTAACCCTCAAATCAAAGGAACGGTCAAACAACATATGAACATTTTAGATGGCTCTGAGCGAATGAAAAACATTATGAAAAATACCAAATTTATCGCAAGCTACTGTCAGCCAAAAAATTTGAAAAAATATCTAACACGTGCATCATTTTCATAAGAAACAAAGTTACCGGAAGTCAATACTTGTCGAGAAAAGAGATGTGGAACGTGTCAACATATCATAACAGGGAACTCCTTACAATTAAAAAGTGGAAAGAAGTGGGAAGTTAAAAGCAGTATGAACTGTAAATCAAAAAACGTGATTTACTTAATCCTTTGTCCAAAATGTGGAAGTTTCTATATAGGACAAACAGAAAACCTCTGCAAACACGTAACATTACATCGAGAACAAATATCCCACGAAAGATATAGACATCTACCAATCAGCCGACACATAGCAGGATGCAACGACGGCTTTTTCCAAATCTTCCCCCTGTATACTTTTTCATCTGAAACCAATCGAATACAAAGAGAAGCCAAGGGGTCAGAAATTATAAACATTTTAAAACCAGACTTGAATATTAATGTTTAACCGCATTGTAAAGTTTGCAAAATATAATTATGCCCCTTTTATATTATGACGTCATCAACAGATAACATGTTGTGACGCCACACCATCATGTACAGTTACTATGCACCTGAAGATCTAATACAGTGAAAGCGCTAGTGCAAAATGTAACGTCTTTCTTCTTTTGTCAAAAATCATTTTTATTTATAATTTACTCGCATCTCATCAAATCACGTTTTTTCTATATATATATATACCATAATAAACCTCATAAGCACATCCATTCCTTTAAGTACATATATCTCCAGACTTTGCTGATCAAACTTTGCATATTCAGCCTATAACAACTGCCACTGAACTAGACTCTAAGTGCATGTGGGTCAAATTTACTAAAATTTTGAAAATTACGATCTGTTTCAGCTCCCAATGTCTGATATCTTGGTACCAGAAAGAAAACATGAATCTGGAAACAGTTTTATGAAGCAAATCCCCCCTACATATTCTAGGGGGCACAGTGACCTTATCATGTCAAATACAGTAACAGTGACCTTATATCAATTACAGTAACAGTGACCTGATTATATCAATTACAGTAACAGTGACCTGATTATATCAATTACAGTAACAGTGACCTTATATCAATTACAGTATTGATTATATCAATTACAGTAACAGTGACCTGATTATATCAATTACAGTAACAGTGACCTGATTATATCAATTACAGTAACAGTGACCTGATTATATCAATTACAGTAACAGTGACCTGATTATATCAATTACAGTAACAGTGACCTTATATCAATTACAGTAACAGTGACCTGATTATATCAATTACAGTAACAGTGACCTGATTATATCAATTACAGTAACAGTGACCTGATTATATCAATAACAGTAACAGTGACCTGATTATATCAATTACAGTAACAGTGACCTTATTATATCAATTATAGTAACAGTGACCTGATTATATCAATTACAGTTACAGTGACCTGATTATATCAATTACATTAACAGTGACCTGATTATATCAATTACAGTAACAGTGACCTGATTATATCAATTACAGTAACAGTGACCTTATATTAATTACAGTAACAGTGACCTTAATTATATCAATTACAGTAACAGTGACCTGATTATATCAATTATAGTAACAGTGACCTTATATCAATTATAGTAACAGTGACCTGATTATATCAATTACAGTAACAGTGACCTGATTATATCAATTACAGTAACAGTGACCTGATTATATCAATTACAGTAACAGTGACCTTATATCAATTACAGTAACAGTGACCTTATATCAATTATAGTAACAGTGACCTGATTATATCAATTACAGTAACAGTGACCTGATTATATCAATTACAGTAACAGTGACCTGATTATATCAATTACAGTAACAGTGACCTGATTATATCAATTACAGTAACAGTGACCTGATTATATCAATTACAGTGACCTGATTATATCAATTACAGTGACCTGATTATATCAATTACAGTAACAGTGACCTGATTATATCAATTACAGTAACATTTGACAGTGAAGTTATTATGTTGAATACGGTATAGCTGACCTTTATTATTTCTCAGTGAAAACAAAATCATTGATGTGCTATAACTTTTCTGAAGACTTTGAGTACACAGGAAACTTGTTTCCATAATTATATTTACAGCTATTCATTAATATCCCTTTTTAGCAGTTGCTCAATGATTCTTCAGTAAAGTTTCAAAAGTTATACTTGTAAAGTAAGTGTAATATCCATTTGGCTGCCAAAAATGTCTTTTCATGACATAGCTTTTTTATGTTGTGTTTTGCTTATATTTTTCAGTTAAAAGATAGCTTAAACGTGATTTTAATTATTTAAAAATAAAATTACCCCCTCCTGGGCCCCTTACAACATTCTGTTTACTAATATTGATTCCACTACCCACTATAACACACTTGTACACACTCCACACGGTAACTTGATAGGAAACTTAGAAAATTGCATTTTTATCCCATTTTCAATCATGAAATAAATAGGTTAAGGAATCCCATGCCAAAATTTTCCAGAATATACAATTCCAAACAATTTTCAAATTTATTTCTTCTTCAAAAAATCAAATATATTAATTCTTATTCACAAATTTAAAAAGGTGTCCTTTTCACTTCAAGGGACATAACTCCTCGGAAAACAATAAAAATGGAAAATATCTAATTTCTATAGAAAAAGAACTCAAAATCAAAACACTAGAACCTGGAGGACAAGAGACCGAATTGGCCTGTTACAATGGTATATTTATCTTGTAGAACAAAGAATAATATTTAATATTGTTGACATAAAGTAGATTTTTCTATTATGTAAAAGGTTTACAATAAGTAACTTTAATGAATTATATTACTTTCAGTGTGACATCCCAGGGTGTCTCCATACTTATCATATTCTAATTTTACCAATCTTCATGATTTCTGAATTAAGATAAAATGCTATGTATTACCAAATACACAAGAATTGTTTAGTTGAAATTTTCTGACATAACAGTGAAATCATTTTCATTGAAATATCCAATATGACCAGTAATGATTAAATTTAAAATATTTTCCAAAAATTTCTTTTAAAACTCCATTTACATTTAACAGACTGTTGTTTGATAGCATTGCCCCCCAAATGGCCCCAGAACAAAGGCACTTGCCTAATATTGGACAGACACATTTAGCAGTGTGCCCAGCCTCCCTTAATAGCCCCTGTTGGGGTCGGAACCCTCACAAACCCTCGTTAAACAGCTTGAGGTTTTTACCAATGTTATACAAAATCGCCAAGTGGGAACATTTATCGTGATAATGACAGGCAAGACCTAGAAGGCTGGCTGTGTTATGTTCCCACAGGAGTCCAGGCACTGATTAGGTACAGTATCATGGCTCTGCTTTGGAACAAACCTGCACATTTAGATCAAAACTACATGTTTTAGCCAAAGAGACTGGCATATAGGACCCTAAAACTATATTGGAATCTCATTCCACAGCTCTTATACTTACTATGATTTGAAACATTTGCGTTTTGTTAAAATCTTTCTGCCAAAATCCTGTGAGCTTCAGTTCTGTGTATAATAACCCTTAACTACTACAGTAAGCTGCTACAGGTAGCAGAATTTAAAGTTTGTTAGAGATCACTAACTGATTGTCAATGATGATTTTACAATATAGCATAACACAACAAATAAAATCTCTTAATTTGTTTCTATCCCAGTATCTTTGTTTTCAATCTTAATTGAGTTTTATTGTAGATCAAAAATGCTTACAGTCATGCTCTTAAATACAGAAAAAGGGAATGATGTCATTGAGATCTTTAAACAACTCCTATAGGACTCCAGGTTGAAATCTGGGTATTTAGTTTGTAGATATCATCAAACAGATCCAAAAATTTGGATAAAGTCTGTCAGAGACTTCGTTATAAAAAAACAAATAAATCAGAAATCTTCAATTTCAGAAAATGTTAAGAGACTTACTACTAAATTCAAAGAATCGTACAGTTTTAAATCAGAATCCAGCATTTAATGAGTCTAAGAACAGGTATATAATGTACTTTTACATAGAAATCTAGAGACAACATTCAATTACAACAAAATAATACCAACATGTTAACGTAATCACAACTCAAATTCAATAAAACTAGGGCAAAATATAAACAGATGAAAGATTTACACAGAGATTCCTGAAAAAGTACAAGGAGAGTAAGACCAGGTGTTCCGGAAGAGTAAGTGTCTTCTGCTTCATTGACAATCTTAGAAAGTACTGTTTTATTCTCAAATGAGAACAAGGCATACAACAATGAACCAACAGTAGAGCAATATTCATTCTGAGTCTCTTTACAAGATACAGTATTGTTTTAATTTTAGAAACAAATGTTACCTTGATCCAATCACAAAACTCTTGATAAAGGTCTTGGTAATACATTCAGTAAATCATATAAATTTTAAATGCACCTGAAGGGTTCTAATCCAAACATGGAATTCTCCTAAATCTGGAGTAAATGAATAGAAATTCTTACATGATTATAATATTCAGAGAATCCTAAATATTGATACAAGTCTGTGTACAGCATTCAGAATCCTAAATATTGATACAAGTCTGTGTACAGCATTCAGAATCCTAAATATTGATACAAGTCTGTGTAAAACATTCAGAATCCTAAATATTGATACAAGTCTGTGTACAGCATTCAGAATCCTAAATATTGATACAAGTCTGTGTACAGCATTCAGAATCCTAAATATTGATACAAGTCTGTGTAAAACATTCAGAATCCTAAATATTGATACAAGTCTGTGTACAGCATTCAGAATCCTAAATATTGATACAAGTCTGTGTACAGCATTCAGAATCCTAAATATTGATACAAGTCTGTGTACAACATTCAGAATCCTAAATATTGATACAAGTCTGTGTACAACATTCAGAATCCTAAATATTGATACAAGTCTGTGTACAACATTCAGAATCCTAAATATTGATACAAGTATGTGTACAACATTCAGAATCCTAAATATTGATACAAGTCTGTGTACAACATTCAGAATCCTAAATATTGATACAAGTCTGTGTACAACATTCAGAAT